CAACCAAGAACAATATAATCGATTATTTTGCTGGATAATCGATTATTCCAGAGAGTTGTTTCTGGGATAATCGATTATTTTGGCAAATAATCGATTATTGCAGCAAGGCATCCCATTTTGCCTGTTGCTGGAATAATCGATTATATTTAACGATAATCGATTATTTTGAGTTAGTTTTTAAAACTTCATTTTTAAGTCTCAAAATAACTTTCCAACCTTTTCACTCATCATCATATACTTTCTACTTAGCTCAGATATAGATTTGCTCATGCACAAAGCATACTAAGCACACACAACATAAAAGCTCATTCAAAACACTTTATTTTCCAAACTCTATTACATAGCTCTATCACATAGCATTTTCTTGACTTTTCTTTGACTTTGTTTTTGTTGTGCTTCCAAGTTGTAAGTCGTGTGAGAAGTCGGAAAGAAATGGAATTCCTTGAGCTGAATCGAGGGAATGACACAGTGGCTGTGTATGCTGCCAAATTGGATGCTTTGGTTCATTATTGTACACACTACCATGGTGAGGGTGGTGAAAGAGCTAAATGCATAAAATTTGTAAATGGTTTGCGTCCTGAAGTAAAAACTGCAGTTAACTATCAGGAGATATATCACTTTCCCACTCTGGTCAATAAGTGCAGCATTTATGATCGTGAAAACCGTGCTCGTGCTGTTTTTTATAAAGGAGTTGGAGGTCCTATCCGTGTTGTGAGTTCTAGTACTTCGGGTAGGAGTAAGCCTTACTCCGCTCCTACTAGATTTCAAGGGAATAAAGCTATTGCTACTAAAAGCAAGTCATTTACAAAAGGATCCACTGTTAGTGCTACTGGAAGTGTTGGAGGGTCTGTGTCCACTCCTTTAGTAAGATGCTGGAAGTGTGGACGTGTTGGTCATAATCAGTCTGAGTGTAGTGACAAGGAGGTTACTTGCTTCAATTGCAGGGGTAAGGGTCACATCAGCACCCACTGTCCTGAACCACGAAGAACACATGTTATTGGATCGGGTTCGCAAATCGAGCGTCCAAAAACTGTAGGGAGAGTATTTGCTCTTAGTGGTGCTGAAGCTTCTCGGTCAGAAAATTTGATACAAGGTACTTGTTTCATAGCTGAGACTCCTTTTGTTGTACTATTTGATTCTGGTGCAACTCATTCCTTTATTTCTGTCTCTTGTGTCCGAAAATTGAATTTGCCTGTGTCTTTGTTAGATTATGATTTAGTTGTTGAAACCCCTACTAATGGTCCTGTGGCTTTCCGATCTTGGTGTAGTGTATGTTCATTCCAAAAGAGGCTTCAATAAATAAACATCCAGGATTTGGTGAATATTGCAATTGGAAAGATAGAATGAAGTTATTCTTAGACTCACAAGATGTGGATCTACTAGAAATAGTAGAAGAAGTGGTGGAAACTCTTGGAGAAATAACATTGATGTAACTTCTATTTTAAGATTCTAAGGAAATAATCTTCACTTCTTGGACTTCTTCAAGCTTCTCCAATGGCTTCCATGGATTCTAGAAGTCATTTTCACCAAACAAGATGGTGTAGAGAGACTCCTTGATGACATCACACTCTTGAAGAATGATAAGTCTCTTCAGTTTATCACCACACTCAAGAGAGGATAAGAGAAAAGAAACAATTTCAAAGAAAGAAACAAGCTTTGAGAGAAAGAAATAGAGAGAAAATTCGTCCAATTCAATATAACACTCAAATTTATTTGCACTAGGTACAAAGATACAATATATAGAGTTTAGTTGGCATATGGTGTAAGCTAGATTAACCATGATTAAATGCAACCATGGTTAACTATCTTATATTTAAGATAACTAACTCTAGTTAAATATCTAGAAGTATAGTTAATTGTTTAGAAGATTATGGAGCAAGCTAAGCTAATCCTAGTTTAAAAATAGCCTAGGTTAGCTTAAGTTAACTCCAATTACCTAGCCTAATCATTACAACTACTGGACTAATAATTGCTTTTAACAAGTTGTTGATATGTCACTGATGGAGGACCATCCTTGAGGCATCATATAGGGCCTATAACAAGGTCCATGGCTAGGAGAGTAGAGGAAGATGAAGAACACACCACACCAAAAGCCATGCTTATCATGTGTGTGAATTTTGGGCCCTCTCCTTAGCTTGTTGCTTTCATTTCCTATTTTGCCATTGTATTTTGGGGTACATTAGATATTAGGGTTTTAATTTGTATTTTTATAACCTTTGCATTATGGGGCAAATTAGTCTTAGGATTTATTTAGGGACTTAACCTTGACTTGTGAGGTCAAAAGTCCATTTCTTTCATTTTCTAGGACTAGGGGTACTTTAGACTTTTTGGAGAGATGAGAGCCATTTCATTTGGGTTGCATCTAGGGTTCATTTAGGGTGCATTTGGGCTTGAAATTTTTGGCCAAATGTCCCCAAGAAACCCTAGATGCTCTCCTTTCTCTCTATAAGTACTCTAGTCCCTCCACTTTGTACCCACTTTGGAATATATGCATTTTGAGTGAGCCTTTGTGCCTCAAAAGCCTTCCTTAGTCTCCTAGGGTCCTCACACCCAACCCCCTCTCCTCTCTACCCTAAAGAGAGTTTTAGTTTCCCTTGAGTGGCCTCCACCAACCCTTGGTGAAGAGAGCTAGCCAAGAACACCAAAACACCCTCCACCACTCCTTCTCCTTTTTCGCCCACCTACACTCTCCACACTTCCAACCTTGTTTTCCACCACCCTTGAGGAACATCCAACCATCATCCTTCTTCCTAGACCGTGGAGAAAGAGGGAGATAGGTGGTTGAGTGAAGAAATCTTAGCAGATTGCTTAGTGTTTGCTACTAACAATAGGTGGTTGTGTAATAGTGATTTGTATCAATCGGTGGCTGAGTTTATTGAACAGAAGTTGGTTGTGATAGTAAAAATTTCATAAGTTTGTGTGAGGAGTGGATATAGCTCAGTTAGGGTGAACTAGTATGAATCTCATGCTTAATCCCTCTTTCCTTTATCTTTTTTACTTGCTTATTTATCTTACTACTTCTATTATTATGTTGCTACATAATCTATTTTACAAACAAGTTCAAAAACTATTTTTAGATAAGTACTTCAAGTTCTAGTACTTAGAAGACTTGTCTTCTAAATAATACATTTTCATAAAGAACATATTTTTAAAGAACATAACAATTCGACTCCACTTCTTGTAGTCTAACATTGACTTAAACTTTAATACACAAGTAAGATAAAACTTTTTGCTTTTGCATTCAACAAACATCTTGTTTTTTCATCAAAATTTCATTCTTATTTTGGCTTTGATACTATAGCTCCTATGTCTAGTGTCTTCTTAGGTATATATGGCCTTTCTTGATGACATCATGCTAAAAATCCAAAAAGAACCAAGAAGAGTGGGCTAGGCTTAAAGGAAGAAGGCCCAAGCTCTAATTAAGCTTTGGGTAACTTTAGTAGCTTACTTTCTCTTATTTGTGTATATTTTTCTTGTAAAAATTTTCTTTATTTTGACCTTGTATTTTGGGTCCAGTAGTGTAAGTAATTTTGTCCTTATATTATTTTAGTTGAGAGTGTAATTAGTAAATTAGGAGAGGTGTAACTAGCCAAGTTTTGTTAGACTTATTTGGGCTTGGATGACCTAAACTTATTTTGGCCCATTTGGATTGGATATCCACTTTCTTATGCAAGTTATTTGGATGTCCAAACTAAGACAAGTTTGCCATCCAAGTTACAAATTAAGTCACATGGCTTTGATAGTGACTGATGGGCTCCTTCCTTCCATGGTGTGTTCTTTGGCTTCCAAGGAGGAGCTCCCTCTTTCTCCACGGTCTAGGAAGAAGGATGATGGTTGGATGTTCCTCAAGGGTGGTGGAAAACAAGGTTGGAAGTGTGGAGAGTGTAGGTGGGCGAAAAAGGAGAAGGAGTGGTGGAGGGTGTTTTGGTGTTCTTGGCTAGCTCTCTTCACCAAGGGTTGGTGGAGGCCACTCAAGGGAAACTAAAACTCTCTTTAGGGTAGAGAGGAGAGGGGGTTGGGTGTGAGGACCCTAGGAGACTAAGGAAGGCTTTTGAGGCACAAAGGCTCACTCAAAATGCATATATTCCAAAGTGGGTACAAAGTGGAGGGACTAGAGTACTTATAGAGAGAAAGGAGAGCATCTAGGGTTTCTTGGGGACATTTGGCCAAAAATTTCAAGCCCAAATGCACCCTAAATGAACCCTAGATGCAACCCAAATGAAATGGCTCTCATCTCTCCAAAAAGTCTAAAGTACCCCTAGTCCTAGAAAATGAAAGAAATGGACTTTTGACCTCACAAGTCAAGGTTAAGTCCCTAAATAAATCCTAAGACTAATTTGCCCCATAATATGAAGTCTCTTTTAAAGAGAATTATTGTTTTATCAAGGGTGAACATGATTTAGAAATTGCAAATATTGAGATAATCAAAAACAATTTTTATTTAAAATTTGATTTAGTTGAACATAATGATTTTATTACTAAAATTGATGAAAGTTATGTTTGTTTGGAAGATTTGGTCACACTTTTATGCGAAATGTATTTGATATGACAAATCCCAACAATTGGTATTTAAAGACAGGAGAAGGAATTAAATTGATGACTATGATAGTGATTTAGGTTAAGAAATTGATGTGCACAAACTTCCAGAACTATGAAAATCCAGGTTTGCTAATAAATAACTAACATATATATATATATATAT